AACTTGAGTTAAAACTATTTATGACCTCGATGGTAGTGATCCGAAACTTATTCGTGAACTAGCGTTGACCTGAACCCAAGTTGAATTTGAAAATTGTGAATTTGAGCCCGACATGCACTCGATCTAAGAACGACCTAAACTTAAGTTGAACCGATAATATGATAATCGAACGCAATCTGCATTCGACTGATATAAACTCGAACCCGATATTAATAAGGTAAATAACTAATATTACCCGACCTGTTATCAACCTGACATGTCATGGACCTAATCTGTAATTGACTCAACCTATAAATGAGACTTGTTATTTAACTAATCTAATAATTACCTAACTTGATATTTACCTAACTTAAAAATTATAATTGATGAAACTGTGAGATTTGAATTTATAATAAACTATGAAAATTAATATAATTATTTGGTTAAAAGTTAAAACAAATTATGATATTAATATGATTACTTTTATATATATATATATATATTTAAAAAGCAAAAACTCAATCTTATTACATTAGGTCCATTACAATATATACAAATAAATTTGAAAAGCTTAGTCTATGCTTAGAAATTTGAAAAGTTTGATCTTAATTTTTTTTAACACTCATACCTTCATCTTTGGAGGAAATCTTTGATTTTCTTTTGTTTAAAGGATAAGCAAGCAGTTAATATGATGTAACTTTTGAGAAAAGCATGGATTCTTTGTCACTTGATCAATATATGTATAATGTATGTATAATCTTTTTTAATTTAGTTTTTTTAATAAGTACAATTTTTATTATTTTTAAATTAAATTTGATTATAATATAATTTGATTAGTCCTATGTATGTATAATGTTTATTATATATACACTCATAAGTATAAGTATAAATAATATATATATATATATATACTTATGTACATATATCATACTTGTATGTATGTATATACCATACTTCCTTTATCTATAATTTTATATTTGTTTAATTGAGTCCTTAAAATTATATTAACATCTAAAATTGACTCATACTTATTTATATTTTTGTATTTATTTCAAACTCTATATATATAATGTTTATTATATATACACTCATAAGTATAAATATATATAATATATATAATGTATAAATGTTTATTATATATATATCATACTTCATTTATTCATATTTTTATATTTATTTAATTGAGTCCTTAAAATTATATTTGTATCTAAAATTGACCCATACTTATTTATATTTTTGTATTTATTTCAAACCCTATAAATCACATAATAAACTTCATTTCAAATTCTATAAATTATATCATAATCTCCAAACTTTATAAACTTTTGTTCACCAAATTTTTAAATGGATGCAATTTAGTCCATTTTTATATTAATTTCAACTTCACATTTTATAATTATTTCGATTTGATCCTTATCCATACGTGTTGTTTAATTTTTTTTTTGTAATTTCATGTTTGTTCAATTTAGTACTTCAAAATATATTTTCTTTATCAAAATTCATCCATAATTATTTATATTTTTTTATAATTTATTCTAAATCATATACAATTACAAATTATAATTTGATGTTCATGAAACATTGAAAGACGAAAAATGATTAACCCAAAAATGACACGACCTTAAGTCAATCCGTATTCGGTAATATTCGACCTGAATTTTTTTCTACCAATGATGTCACCCTATTTGAACGAGATCCGAATGAAGTCCATCCAAACCTGAATTAACCTAGTATTTAACTGCTTCGGACATGAACCGTTTTGATATTAACTAACATCGATCCGAACTGAAATTAACCCGACTCGAATCCAAACTAAATCTGATGTCAAATCAACCTGAATGACCCGAATTGATTTAACTTAGACTCAACTTGATCTGAGTCAAAGCTAAATTGATACGACTCAACTTGTATTCAATTTAACTTAACCTGACAGAATCCGATTGAAACTTAAACGGATACTTGATTTCACATCTCTAACGCATATTCATAAATTAGGATATAATATTTTTATTAATGATTATTTTGTTTAACATTTATTTTTAATATTAGAAAATATTTTTGTATTGTATTATATGAACGAATCTTTATTTTACATGGTATATTGTATTATACCACCCACACCAGTAACCCATAACAATGGGCCTAAAACATCAATGGGTATTAGGGATATTAAAAAATACTTGAGCTGACTGTCGACCCGAACTTTAAAAAACAGGTAATTTTTTTAAAAAAATTAATCGACCAGGTCAGGTACCATGCCCAACATTTTCCAGGTCGGACTTGGGTCACAAAATTGGTTTTTTTCGGGTACCCAATTACGCGAGTTCTCGATTAGTATATATATATATATATATATATATATATATATATATATATATATATATATATATATTTATTATACTTTTAGATATTAAATTAAACTAACACTCACCCAACATTATTAATAATTTTTGATATTATATATTTAATTATTAATAAATTTATGTTTGGATATTAGAGTATGTAATTCGAACATTTAAAATTGTGTTTTTTAAATTAATAATTTGAAAATGATAAAAAAAAGGATATTCGATTACCCGTAAAATTCAGGAACCCGATTACCGATTACCCGCAACATCTGGGTCATGACACTGGCCAAAAAATTAACTACCCGGGTACCCGGCACTTCAAGTACCCAAAAACCCGGGTACCTGGATTTAAACACACCTACCGAATATACCCCCACAATGTTTTCAATCTTAAAAATATATTTTTCACTTGAAAAAATTACTTTTCAAAAGTAAATATAAACGAACCTTAGAATTTTTTTTATTAGTACGAGTAATTATAAGTAATATATATTGAGATTTTTTAATTAATTAATAATGGATATGTACCATATAAATATAATTGTTTGAAATATATAATATTTAAAAAGAAAAACACCTCTTTTTACTAATAAGATTGCTGAATAAATTTTCCTTTGAACTCTTACAATTATGGGTGAGCAAAACTCGGCTCGACTTGAACAATTAAACTTTTTTTAGTTTCGAGTTATTCGAGTCAATTCGAATTATGAATTCGGTTTTGGAGTTCAATTCGAATTGAAATTTCAAAATTTCGAGTAACTCAAAAAATTGAAAATTTGGATGAATATTTTGACAGTTTTACGGTTTGGTCACTGATTTCATATTCCTTCAACTCTTTCTTCATTTTAAGTTAAATTTTCACCAAATTTGAATCACATACTCTTAAACCATCATAGAATACATATGTACTTTAAATTCAATTTTGATAATAATTTTTTTTTATTTTAGTCCCTCAATTTTGCATTATTTTCGTATTTCTTCAATTTATCTTTCATTTTTAGTACGTTTTTGACCAAATTTAAACTACATGTTCCCCTACTACTATAGAATACCTATGTTCTTATTTTTTTTCACTAAAAATATACTCTTCTTTTAATTTAGTCCTTTAACTTTTCATATTACTCAATTTAGTCTTTTGACTACAATTGTTTATCAATTCTTTTTTCACATAAATTCTTTGACTCCTTTATACTCATTAATATTTTATCATCAAAATACCTTCTTTTTTGAAATATAATATTATAAATATATTTTATAATTTTAGATTGTATGTGATATATTAAATAACATTGTAATATGAAAAGAATATGAGGATATATATATGATTAGAGAAAGTAAAAAAATTAGAATAAATTTTTACTATAATACTATAAATAATTACAATTAAATTTGAATAGAAACTCAAACAACTTGACTCGAATTTCTTAAATCCGATTTGATTCGAAAAATTTTAAATTAAGTTTGAGTTATAAAATACAACTCGTTAACTCGAATAATTCAAATTTTTTTAACTCGACTTGATCGAATATTTACCGTTATGTACAACCGAATAACACAATTAATTTAAAAAAAGCGTCATGCAATCACTTGATAAATATCACACAAAGCAAGAGTAACAGCATCTCATAATCATAAATTTCAAAACTCGACTTATAAAAATGTTTTTCTTTTTAAATTTTAATAATAAAAAAGAACACTCATTTTCCACACCCACAACAAAAGAATCACCCATCTACTTCAGTTATCGCTATCTCCTGCCCACAAGCAGACCCGACATAAAACAAATCCATTTTAAATTTTATTTCAAAATTGGTCAAAACTCAAATGACAAATAATAAAATATTTTAGACATTATAAATGTTTTGGAAGCTGTTCTAAGATTCGCTTTACTTTTGTTTTTACTCTGTTTGAAATCTCTCTTACCCAAGTCTTTGGGTTAGCTCAACCGTATCTTTGTCATTTCATTTGTCCACCCCCACTTTCCCTTCATTTGAATTTCAAGTTAAAAACTTAAACTTGAGGGAACATAGGTACCCAGTTGACAAACAAATGCATTTTTTTTTTGTTTATCTGAGAATCAGAGCCGAAGAAATAGAAGAACCGAGAATCAGTTTCAAGTTGGATTTGGGTGTTATTCCTTTTTGTTGATGTGTCACGATTCAAGAAAGCATGGATCTTTCAGGTTATTTATCAAAGGTCTCCTTTTTAATGATTTTTTTTCTCATTCTTCTTTTTTCTATTTGAAATTAAGAAATTGGGTTGCTGTTGTTTTCTTTTATCTGTTTTTATTTTGTGAGGTTTAGAAAGATGCATGCAGTGAAAGGGAAATCGTTATGGTTAATGGGGTCAGCCTGTGAGTTGTATTGGTGTGGCATTTGGAGCTCAAAAGGGGACCATTGAGATCTGTCCCTTGGATTGTTCTTCTTTTACATTTTAATTTTCTTTGACTCAATTTGTGTCATCGTTTTATTGTGGTTTGGAATCTTTTTACCTAGTGGAAACTGGAAACCCTTGATATACTTTCTCCTTTTTGATTTACTGTTTGCCTAACTACTTTTGAAATCTCAACTTTGATCTCACTTTTAATTCCATCAATCAATCCACTTTCACCATTACACTTTTTCTTCATTTTCAATGGGCATGAAAGAAAAGCAACCATCTTCTTTGCTTTTAAATCAACGTTGATAAACTCTTGATGGGTATGTCAAGTTTTTCCCCTTTGTTTTTTTTTTGTCACCATGAAAGCTACTTTTGTGTTCCATAATTAGCAGTGGGATAACCCCACTTTCTTCTTTTTGTTCTTATAATTGCATATTCTTTGCTTCTGCTCATTCCCTTTCCTTTTTGCCAATTGTATCCTCATAATATTCACAGCTTTTGCTTTTGCTCTGATTTCCATGAAGTGGAAAAGTAATTCATTTTTCTCAAGTGGTTTCAAAGATATTTTGTTTTCTACAAATCCCTTTTCTGAAATAATTTCTACTTGTATATGTGCTGGTTGTATGTGATTTAATATCAGAGGTATCAGGGTGAGTTTATTTAGATTTGTATGGTTGTGTTGAAAATGACTGGTAGCTGTGCATTCATTGACTTCATTTGTCCTTTACTTCTTCACAAGCCACACAGTACCCTCTCCAAAAACAGCTCATTCTTCCATTAGATTATCGAGGACAAAATCTATCTTAAGTTACCCAAATTTGAAATCATTGAAAAAACAGGCTTTTGATGTTTGAATTGGATCTGCAGAATTTATGAAGCTTGTTTGCATATGGGGTTGATATAGAAGCTAAGCTACTTTGGGACTTCTTTATTTGGTAAAAGCCAAACCCCATGATTACAAGATGTGTGACTCTACGCTCGTGCAATCTGCTTTATGCCAGTAAGGACTGCAATCTGCTTATGCTCTTACTGGCTTATAAGTGGCGTTTTTAGTTTCTTTCTTCTGATTTTTTCTTTCCTTGGAATGGCCTTGTCTGCAGAAATGAATGTCAGCTAGATTCTGTTAGTGAAGTTCAAGATAATAACTCATGGTTAGAGGTAAGTGATGGTGGTCTGCACTTGTAATGATTGTTGATTAAGACTGAATGAAATATGTTGGCCATAACAATTCGCTATTTTCCCTCATTTCGACTACATGAATGCTGTTGAAGTCAACCTTCATGTGATTTTTCACGATTTTAGTCTACTGGTTGTTTGCGTTTTCTGTTTTGATGAAATATCAAATATTATACCCATTGCAGAAGAGACAAACAAACAGTTTCTTTCATGTTGTTAGTTGGTTGACTTGAATTAGAAGTCCTAAGAATTTTCCTTTATTCTTTTTTCAAGGGCCATAATAAGACTTCTACTGCAGTACCTGTTTCATCTCAATGTTTCTATTAATTTAGATTTGATATTCATCGTGAATTTGGCTTAAATTTTAGGGGGGGGGGGGAAGGTCAATTGGCTTATATTTGATATTTACAATGAAATTGGTGATTTCTTCAGGAAACGAGTTTCAGTGAAGAGACTGGAAGTGCTGAATCATGTTCCAAAAGCAGCGATTTTTATCCTTATAGGTTCCAGCTTGAGCAGGATGTAAGCATCCCTTAACTGTGATAACATTTTAGCCACTGCATTACACTAGTTATATAAGACGGCTTAAAGCAGTTGTGCGGTTGCATTTGCAATTGTCTTTGTGTTGTTACTCGCATATCCCCTAAGGTGTATTTAATGTGTTTGATGGCCTCCTTCTAAGAGTAGTCTTATATTTTCAGTTGCTTTTGATTGTAATATGCTGATTGTTAGGGAAAATGTATTTATTTTAGTTCCTATAATGATTCCTTAAATGTATATTTGATTATGGTTACTTTCTTCTTAAAAACAGGTACATAAATTGCAACAAAAGCTGCAAGAAGAGATGGACTTGCATTCTGTTCTGGAAAGTGCTATAGAGAAAAATGCTTCAGAATTGTCAAGTCCTTCATGCCTTCCTCACAATGTATGTCAGTTATATTTAATATTTTCTCACTGTTGGTTATTTGACCTTTTGGTCTTGTCTAGATGTTCTACATCTAGTTGTACATTGCTGCCACCTGTTGTTATACTTCATGGTGATTGTTTGTGACCCAAAATTTTTTGGAAGTTCAAAGCAATATGTTATACGAGTTTGGAAAACATCTTAAGTGTTATTTTTTACCATCAACGACAAGCTTTTGTTCTCTACTTTCTTAGCAAACAAATAGATGTTTCAATCTCTTATTCTTATTAGTTAAGATTACCTTACTACTTTATGCCACAACTTTCGGGCAACAATTTCGACTTTCTTTTTCCAATGAAGCTGTTGTTCATATCCTTATCCACACATATAGCGTGTAGCATTTTTTCTGGATGATTTAATTGGTGTTAAAGTTGTTGTTAAAGCCAATACTCCATTCCACACATTGCAAGCTCAAGCTGATGTCATTGTATTAGAGACGTTTTACTTTAGTCTTATGGAAATGCTAATATGCTTTGAATATCTCCAATATTATTTCATTGGTTCATATTAAGTAGCCATCTGGAGTTTATATTAACGGCTTCTCTCTGGTTCTTTTTGATTTCTTCATAATAAATTCACTTAGTTGTTTATGAACTCCATAATCCATGCATTCAGTTGAGGCATACCCGTCAAATTGTGAACTGGTTTCTTTAATAAAGATTGTTATAAACTTTACCTTCTTTGTATTCTCTTACAGGCTCAGGAGCTTCTATCCCATATTGCCGTATTAGAGGGTACAATCTCAAAACTTGAACAAGAGATGGTCTCTTTGCATTTCCAACTTAGTCAAGAAAGAAATGAACGGAGGCTTGCTGAATATCGATTGAGGCATTCAGATTCTTCATCGGTATGTATCTTACTCTATCACCGAATTGCTGCTGAGTGCTAGCTAATGTCACACTATGAAAAACTTAATCCTTCCTCATTATAACCACAGTGTTTGTTACATTGTTGAAACCAATGATTAAGGTTACAGTTATTTGTAGCCAGTTAAAATATCTTTTTTAAGGTTAGTTGTGATGAATTTGATCTTTATAGTACTTATAATAAACCGACAGGAGTAAGTCATTATGACAACAAATAAACTCAACCCGTTATGAATCAAGAGATAAGCACGAAAATAAATTCATGTAGTTTATAAAGCCTTAGTTGTTCTCCAAATGATAAACATATATTTTCCTTTAAGAATCTTCCTCGAATGCTGTGAAGACGAGCTGAATGTCATAACTCATTTAATTGGACTTTGCCTACAGTTTCTATTCTATAATGGTCGATATTATGTTAACTATAAATATAAAATATAACAATAGGTGATAAGAAAGTGACATCACAAAAACTATTGCATGTGTAGTTACTTGTGCATTGGTTGTACATTATGAAGTTTTCTTTTGTTATCTAGATTTCACCGTCATCAAGATGTTTGAAGCATTCAAATTCTGTATTGCATCATTCCTCAGAAGATAATTCATATCAAGAGCCTGCTGACCAACGGTCAGAATCTACTGGTGAATCATCTTCTGCAGAGTCAGTAAGAGAGGTAAATGTCTAGCTTCCTTCTTGCCTTCTCTGAACAGAGTTTTCAACTCCATTACTATTTTGACAGCTATAGTGGATCATACTTAATCAAAATTGGTTCCATCTTTAAAGCAGATTATTTGTAATTCAGCAACAGGAAACTTCAATAGTGTACTGTCTATCTACATTTTTTAACCAAACTCTGAGTTCAGGTGTTTCATCGATCTACATTTTTAACCAAATTCTTATGTTCGCTGCAAATTTTGTTTTTGCAATATTTCTTATTACTAGACATACAATCTCTATGCTGCTTGTTTGTGTTCTTGTTTTTGTCTTTATGCTGAATTCGGCTATAGTTCTGATGATTTGGCTATACACCTACTTCAAAAGCTTAAGGCCATTTCAGATCTTTTTTTGTAATCTGTCTATCACAAAGAAAAATAGATAATAGATATGGAAATATTTATTTTTAGTAATGATTAATACTGAAAACCGCCGAAGTTTTTTACTTAGATTTTAGTGATTATGATTCACAGAAGAATGCAGTTGGCATGCTTTTGCATCATGTTGGGAAGAAAACCTCTTCAAAGAAAGACGAAAAATCTCTTCAACCTCTACAGTTTGAGGAGATTTCACGCGAGATAACACCTAAAGGCCTCTGGGATCACCCTAACCGGTTATCAGAAGAGATGGTTAGATGCATGAGAAATATATTCATCTCTCTTGCGGATTCAGCTGTTCCTTCCAAATCATCTGCGTCTAAAAGCCACAGCTCAACTCTATCACCTCGGGGACATCTGTCAAATTCATCATGGTGGTCGTCATCTGAACGTTCCATGATTCCATCTTGGGTGCAGAGCCCTCAAGTTGATATCCAAAGCAACTCCGAAGTTTTGGCTTCAGAGAATTCCTTTGATCCCTATAGAGTACGAGGAAAGTTAAGCTGGGCTGAAATTGGAAACTATGGCTTATCAACCGAAGTATCTTGGATGTCAGTTGGGAAGCGGCAGCTGGAATATGCATCTGGGGCCTTAAGGAAGTTCAGGTATTAAGCTTGTCAAACATTTTGTATTTAGTTTTTTTCTCACTTGACTAATGATTATCAAATGAGGATTTTGGAAACCAAGAGGTTTTACTTTCATGGGGCCAGATTCATCAGAATAGAGTAATATAGCCTGGTAGAGTTGTAAATATAGTGATTAGAGCACGAGTAGATTGTCCACATGTTTTCTTTTTCAAAAATGAATAAATAAAATAAATGAAAATCTTAATAACCTTCATGTAGTATAACTATTGTACGGCTGTTTTTTTTTAATTGTTTTGAGAACAGAACACTTGTGGAGCAACTGGCGAAAGTGAATCCTATTCACTTGAGTTGCAACGAGAAGCTTGCCTTCTGGATCAACTTGTATAACGCTCTAATCATGCATGTGGGTTTCTTTATTTCTTTTGCAAGTTCAGTTTTTACGATTACATCTCAAGAGTTGCGGAGTTAAATATAAACGACAAGTTCAGCTTTTGACAATATTTTTCTGTGTGTTGTCTGCATTATAACAGGCTTACTTAGCGTATGGAGTTCCAAGAAGCGACTTGAAGCTCTTCTCCTTGATGCAAAAGGTATAGGTTGTTGAATGAGAGATCTGAATCTCATTTTCCTATTTTTATGTTGTTGTGGCAGCTGCACTCTGTGTTTAAATTATTTCCTGTACTGTTTTTTTTGGGTCAAGTATTCTTAGTATACAGAGTGCAGCTAGCATAATCATGGTTAAAGAAAGTTTTCTCCTAAAATAAGAAATACTAACTAAAGAGAAGAATAAAGATTAAGCCCTTTATATATGTCGGTTCTCTGATGTTCAAATCTAGTACTTTGTAGAACTTCATGGTTCAACAGGCAGAGTAATTTAGTAATCTATTCATTAGAGATCTCATTTAATCTTGATTTCCCGAGCTTCTGTATATCTAATCTCTATATCTCGGTATCTGGTATAACATCAGAGGATGACTTAAAATTGGAGAAATGCAAGATAATTATCAATTTAATTAAGTTTTAGATTTTTGCAGTTATATCTGATGAAAGGTTTTTACTCTTCCAGGCAGCATATACAGTTGGAGGTTACTCCTTCAGCGCAGCTGCTATTGAATACGTCATTCTGAAGATGAAACCACCGTTGCACAGACCGCAAATTGTATAGATTTTTCGGTGATGTTGTTGTGCATGTTTTCTTTACTTGCTTCTCCTACTTCACTAACCAACAAATGTTAAAACTTCTTGTTAGGCTTTGCTTCTTGCCCTTCACAAACTGAAGGTGTCGGATGAGCAGCGCAAGTCCGCAATTGATGCATATGAACCACTTGCAACTTTTTCACTAAGTTCCGGGATGTACTCATCACCTGCGGTAATCTCCATAGTTCACTCTTTATGCACATGCACACACACAGATTCGTTTTGGCTGTTGTGAGTTGTAGATTTTGTAACAAGTGCAAATGCCAGGTGATAATCTACACTGCTAATAATGTTAGAGAGGAGCTTGAAGAAGCCCAACGCGATTTCATACGAGCTTCGGTTGGGGTTAGCAGCAAAGGGAAGCTATTAGTTCCGAAATTACTGCACTGCTTTGCCAAGGGCTTTGTGGATGATTCTAATTTGGCAGTATGGATATCTCGTTACCTGCCACCAGATCAAGCTGCCTTCGTGGAGCAATGCATATCACAAAGGAGGCAAAGCCTGCTTGGTTCCCGAAACTGTGGCATTCTCCCCTTCGATTCGCGCTTCCGTTACTTATTCTTGCCTGAGAAAATTCCGATCCAATGATGTCCGTATTAGCTTTTCATCTTCTCTTGGCTTGTTAACCCGAATCATACAGAGTAAGCTACAGAAATTAGGTTGAACCTACACCAAAGTGAATCATTATCAGATCCTTGAGAAAGACGAGGTTCATTTACAGTCTTGGTGTTTCCCCCTCTGTGTAGTGTACATTTTCGTCATGCATGGCACATTGTATTTTCTTTATCCAGCCAGGTTAGAATAAAAACGTCTTTTGGGCTATTTTTAGATAAAAGATCAAATTACTGGACCTCGATGACGAAGATGAGCTCCAGTAATTTGAGTAGCCTATTGTTTGGTTTGTACTCATTATGATGTATTACTTTGTTTAACGAATCGATGTTGGATCTTGGATCTAACTTTAATCTACCTTGTTTTCTTTTATTAATCCAGTCTTTAATTTTTTAAAATTTTTGATGGTACAAATTTTAAATTTTTATATAATTTTTTTTATTGATCTGATTTAGTATCTTAAAATTTTTAATTGAATTTCGCACTTGGTGCCACAAAGAATGCATAAAACCATACATAGCGTTATGTTTTGGTTTTATTTTGATTAATAGTGAGTGACTAAAATAAAATCAAAATATAGCGTTAGAAATAATTTTTTTTTAATTTTTTAACAGTGAGTGATCAAAATGAAATCAAAATATAACGTTAGAAATATATATTTTTTTAAAATAGTTGGATGATCAAAACAGAATAAAAATTATAATCAAGGTACTAAATGTGTAGTTTACCCTTTTAATTATAATATATTTTGGACGTAAAAAAAGCATTTGATATATGACTGAATTGGTTTTTCGTCACCGATTGCTAACCCCCCATTGCAAGTATAATTAATTCAAGGTTTAATTAAACTAATAAAACAACACCTATATACACGTTTGACAAAAACAAACTCTTTTTCTCAACCAAAATCATCTCCTTTTCTCACCTACGTTAGCTTATATATATATAATGACCCCCAACTGTTCTACACCTACCCATTGTTCTATATTCTTCTTTATATTGGTTGCGTTTTGTTTTAATTATTTCTCATGTATAAATTTTAATATGTTAGTAATTTAGATTATGAGACATTTATATATTTTTTATTTTTTTATCATGTAATTGTATTACCTTTATTATCCAATCAAATAAAAACAAAAAAGAATGGATTTAGCAGTTTGATGGAAAGGATGTTAGTTCATAATTGAGTATATAAAATTCGACCATGAATCAAATGATAAAGAGATAGTTGTTATGCTTAGAGGTCCTAAGTTAAAACATTATATTTGCAGAGGTGTTTGAACGTTCATTGTCAAATAATTGATAATATTTCAAACATATACTATCTTATAATCACTTATGTATTTTTTTTTTTATTCAATCAAAATCCAATAACATCCCTTTTGTTCCTGCATGCCTTATTTATAGAATCGTGTTCTAATTTTTCCTATTATTTTTTCTTATTATCAACATTTTTGTAGCATATTTCAAAAGTTGTATCTACTTTATTCAATGTTGTGATACAAATGTTTTGTTTATAAATTTATTGGAATTGACCATCAGTACACATAAGCACGTAGTTTGCATTTTCAAATATATTTGAAAGTTACAAACTGTAGTAGTATCACACAATAGAATTTCGAAACTAGTTGGCTGCAATTGCAATGCTGTAGGACTGCAAGTCCAGCTTCAAACACAACATTTTCTGATACAAAGTTGGGGGAGTTTGGGACAATTTTCTTACGAGTAATCCAAAGTTTAAACCAGTTGAAGGTAATCAAAAGTGAGGGGCCTCAATACACTGCCAGCTTCGGCTTCTATCAGCTCCAATTGCCTTTTGAAAAGGTGCATATAAACCACCCAATCACCTTCTCTACAAGGACTTGGCATCGGCATTACATATCCGGAATCCCCTCCCCAAGGGAAATGGTACGACCCGAAAACAGGACGATCCCATCCGAAATCCACTTTCGAAACCGGGAAACGTTGCCCCGATGATACTACAAAAGCCGGGCCCTCGTCGCTGCCATTCATGTATATCTTAGCCAGAGCTGGCTCTGGACGGTGAGCCTCAACCCAGTCAATCATGCCGAGGAAGTGTTCCTTTGTCACTGCATGGTCCAGGAAATCATGAACCTGATTAGCCACCCACCACAACGGTTTTTCGATCAGTTCATTCACTCCTTGACCCCCAAAAGGAATGGAAAGAACATTTCCGAAATAAGAACCCATTAGACGCGCTTTGTCTTCGTCTCCTTCACCTAATCTAACCCTTCCATCCACAACAATCCCCATCTTGGAAAACTTGAAACCATCTTTGACAGCAAGGAGTGCTACCATTTTCCATAGAAACGAACTGAAAGACTCGAGCTTGCTCCTTTTATATCCATTAGAGCAGGCCAGTGATTGAAGCTCATTGAGTTTCTCAGAAGGAATATAATATATACGACTAATGAGATGATCAGCGGGTTGATCAAGGTGTTGCTTAGGGGGTGGTAATGAGGATATGGGCACATACATTTGATCCAGAGACGAGTCGATGCACCCTGGACGCCTTGGGTTCATCAGAGACCGGCGAAAGGACGGTACCAAAGAGATTGATTTGGATCGAGCCATTTCAGCCCATGATACAAGAAACATGTTGGCTGAGTAGGCATCAGCAATACGGTGGTCAAATGTGCATGCCACCACTATTCCACCGCATCTAAGCTCTGTTGCCTGTAATATATTTCAGTTTAACAGTTAAAGCTACACCCCTCTTGTTCATCGTACTAAGAATGACACGAGGACATGTACGTTTGTACGTATATATAGTGTTAATAGAATTGTTTTCTTGGTTTAAAATCCTTCACTTCGTGTAGTTAAAAGCAGGGCTGGAAAGGGATATGTCGACCTCATATCATACTTGTCAACCGCCCACTCCATAGGGTGATAAAAGATATTCACGGAACTTACTAGATTTTTTGGTTATATTTCCGATATTGAATTTGAATGAGGTTTAATTAGAGATATATTGTAAAAAAAAGTAACTTTTTTAAAGAAAATTAAGTATATTTAAAAATTATTTAAGAAAATAATATGATTTTTATAATAATTCTTAAAAACGTTCTTAGATATTGACGATTCTAATAAAATTGTTATATATTATGATTTTTGAGTACGTATTAAATATTGTTATTAAATATTGATACTTTTAAAATATAAATAATTTAATCACATGAAAAGAAATACATATAATAATTATGGGCTGGATATATTGTAAAAGATAACAATAGAGGAATTTATCAAAATTTACATTGTTTGAATTTTATTTTTATTAGTGTAAATATAAATTTTATATATTTTTTTCATTTTATGATTGAGGCCTACACATGCACATCATCACCTGCTTCGACATAATTTGTGTTAACATATATTTATTACACATAAATTCACTTTTTTTAGATAATTTTTATATACTTTTTTATTTTAATACGTGAGATGTTCGTTTTTATTATTATTTTTATCTCTATAACATAAAGTTATCATTTGAAATAAAAACCTAACTAAAGACGGTCACTAATAAATTTGACTCATTAAAAAAATTATTAAAATACATTGATAATAATTTTAACAATTATTAAAAAAATACTTGTAAAAAACAATTATTATAAAATTATCATATTTAAAAACAATTATTATAAAATTATCATATTTCTTTAAACAATTTTTAAATTATTCCATTTATTTAATTTTATGTATCTATTTATTTTTTCAATATATCCCTAATTAAGGCTTCGAGTGAATGAATATGAATTTATTTCTTATTATTCACACTTTTATTTTACCTGGGCAGAAAGCACTCCATATTTCTTCTTAGGCACGAGTTTCCCTTTGATGCTTTGATCAGGGTTATGCAAATCCAGGTGTCGAAGCTCAACATCGGCATAAGCTTGGACGAAATCCACCCCGCGATTGTTGCAAAGGAGCTCGGGTTCACCTGCAGCATTAGCCACCACCTCACCCGCAAATGCGTAGTAGGATACGAGAGCCTGAGCCAAGGCAGTTTTGAGGACACTGACCACGGAAGTGAAGCTCGTGATGCAGCCTTCTGGTTTCTTGTAACAAAAGAAGACTCCCACATCGACGGGAGGGAGAAGCAAGTCAAGATTAGAGAATGGTAGCCAGTGTTCTTGCAATGGTAACATCGCTGCCACAGTTTCCTCCTTGCTCACCGTCATCGTGAAATCTGCTTTTGCATCCATGTCTAGCTACCTATTATCTCTAGTTTTTTATTTATTGGTGAGTAGTGACGGATCTAGAAATTAAAAAATGAAGTTCTAAAATTTTAATATCCTATTCTAAAAAATTTGGGTATGCAAATTTTCTTATTTTTTTTCTATTCCTATTAACAAAATGAAGCATTTAATAATGTTTCCTCCAATGCTAACCAAAAAATAATCAAATAAAAAATACCTGCATTTTTTACGTCAACTTCAATCGTAAAGTTATCCGTACAAGCTTAAATTTCGACTATGCATAGAAAATATGCATCTAACTTGGATTTTTGATGTTATATATATAATTATATATTTTCTGGATATGAAAAGATGATAACTTGAGTTAAACTGCGTTTGAGTAGACATACGAACTAAATAATTGACTGGTGTAGATGAAACCATAAATTATTGGCTTGTGGAAAACGATTTGTCGACACAAATGAAGAGAAAGCCCATGTGTTTTTTGTCCTTTTGTGACGGTTTTGAAGAATCTATGTACTACTCGTGAGTAAAGTTGGGAAGTCACGAGCGGCAGCCTAATATACTCACATTTAACAAAACAAACAAAACTTAACGCTTGCTTTATCTTTTTCTGTACCCGTCTCGTTGTTGGTTTTTTTTTTTCATTTTCTATTAGTAATAGGTGATATCAATTTTAGTGCTGATGAAAATTCATTTTTCTTATTACCAACTTATATATATTTTTCTCTGCCTCGTCCAGCCGTTATTTTTTTCCTTTTCTATTAACAGACGGTGACATCAATTTTAGTACGGAATGTAGTCGTTGATATTTTTTTTATCTCACATCTTTTTTTTTCTTTCTAATAATTCTATTTTTATGCATGATTTTATTTACTTTTTATAACACTTTCTTTTATGCCTTCTGACATTTTTTTTATTTTTTTCCGATCGTTTGTTGTTTATTTTTAAGGTTGGATTTAACGTCTTAAAATTGATTAAGATGACGTCCATTTGTTATCTCGTTAATCTTCTTGCTTTAGACTCTCAAATTGGGTTTGCATATGCAACCTGCAATCGTAGATAATTATCTCACAATGCTTTGCTATAATTTGTATTTTATCGGTGATTTTTCAGTAGTTTAATATCCTATTGTGGTTCCTTTGTCTTAGCAGTCAGATTTATTCATATATAATTTTTTGTTTGAGTTTTTCCATATGAGATTTTCACATTTTCTTTGTATGATCCTGAAATAATATTGAGTGACTAGTTTTTTTTAATGATTTTAGGAGAATATCCCAATTAAGTGCTTAATTTATGATTTTTATTGTAAACATTTATTGAATCTCTATTTCTTCATAAAATTAAATTTTATTGAAATAAAAAATAAAAATAGTTAAATAGATTATTCGTAATCTGTTTAACTATTTTTATTTTTTATTTCAATAACTTTTTAAAAAGTTAGTTAAATAGTTAAATACATTATATCGCTTAAATAATGTTTCGAGTTCTAATCGTTGTATATGTAGAAAATCCCTAATGAAAGATTCATAACTAAAATCAGGTGTATGACGTGAGATCGTCTGTATTAATTAAGACGAATCCTTAAACGGGAAGGAAGGGAAAAAAAACGAATAAGCTGCAGATGATACGCAAGTCAGCAGCCCAATTATGTTGAATAGTTCATACAATTCTGACAAAAGAATTGTTTTAAATATTTACCCACTATAATACTTTGATAATTTCCATTTCATTGAAAATAAAATTATCTACTTCCCCATTTTTTTTCTACAAATCCTCCCTCCAATTACAGTGGTAAAAAAATGGGATCAACAAAGGGAGAATTCACGGCGACGGTGACAAAAAACGAAGTGGTGGCGGCACTGCTGCCATTTCAAGAGCATTGGCTGCCACTCACCAACCTAGACTTGCTTTTGCCGCCTCTCGACTTCGGCGTTTTCTTCTGCTACAAGAAACCACTCTCCACCGGCTGCTGCATGGTTACTACTCTGAAGAAGGCGTTGGCTGAAGCTCTTCTCCCTTACTATGGTTTGGCCGGCGAGGTTGTCCCCAACGCCATGGGGGAGCCTGAACTTCTGTGTAACAATCGAGGCGTGGATTTCGTGGAGGCTTATGCAGATATTGAGCTTCGAAATCTCAACTACCATAACCCTCACGAGAGCATCCAAGGTAAATTGGTACCCAAGAAGAAACGTGGTGTGCTGTCAGTTCAGGTACGTTCGTTTTCATGAATATTAGTTGGAGCGGAGAAATCGTTGCTCTGATAATAAAAACATACACAACGTTACTAATAAAATACCAGTATTATTATTAACCCAAATATTAAAAATTAAATAAATAAGATAATAAAAATTATATCGAGATGATCATGATATTAACCAGTTGAAAAAAATCATTATAGACTAATCAAGTTGAATGTTTCTGTGCATCAGAGAATATATACAAATTCAAGGAGAGTCGATCATTAATTTAATGCTAACCAAATTACACCCCCAGCATGCCTATCAGTCAGGCCCGCGTGTGTAAAAGCCCAAGCAGCTAGGATTTCTAGCTTTTTCATCTACACCGCTTCACCCCCTGCCTTTAGATCTAAGGTTGATCCAATGACCCAGATTAAAGATGAAACTAGGGTTTTCTCATTAACCCTAGTTGTTTCCAGCCACCGCAAGCTTCTCTACCGTTAGATCAGATCTGATCCAACGACTCTGGTTGCCTCCATCAATACCTCACTCGCTCGTGACTCTCCCATGCCGCTGTCGTCACCATGGACGTTATTCACGCCGCTCATCTCATGCGAATATGAAACCTCGGGGTTAAAAGTTTTTACCCCTCCTTTTGGTCACATCATCGCGGCTCATGTTAGAGCTTGATCCCTGGGTTTGTGTCTCCTTCTCCAGGCCTAGAAGTCGTGAGAAACGGAAAAGAGAAAAGGGGCTTTCTCTTTATAATCCACAAAATAGAAGACCACCTTTTTTTAGACAACAAAAATCGAGTATTCACACTAAAAAAAAAGAAAGAAAGAAGAGAGATTGAGTTTTGTAATAGCTTATAGGATCTGTAGCACTCGATTCAAAGAAATAAGAAGGAAAAAAAACAGGTATTCCTTTTCTTTTGGAAGTTCTCGTTTATATCTACTCTATTTGAGGCTGTTTTTGTATATTTGGTGGTAATTTTCGGGTAGAAGGAGAAAAGAGGAAAAAAAAGGTGTATTTTTCTCTTTGAAACCACTGCAGACAATGGCTGTTGGCGCCTATCCATGGCGGCTAACACTGTGGTCGGCGGCGTTGATTTGGAATTTAAGAGGGTCGGTCGAGAGAAAAATAGGAGAGAGTTGAGAGGATTTTTCATTTCCCCTTTTTAGCAAAAAAAAAGATGGAAGAGGCCAGGGACCAGGGTTTGACATTAAGCATATCCATAATTTATTTAAAGAGTGTTTAGCATTGGATTTTTCTTCAATCAAACTAAATATGAAAATTGAGTGGGAGGTTGTTGGTGGGTTTGGAGAAGCTTGGTCAGGAATAGTGATGGCGTTTCTTTTCGAAATCCATTGGAATTACGGAGGCTGCCATGGTTGAATGCAATGCAAACGAAGAGGCTTGCTTCTTGTTTGAAACTTCGAACAACAACAAAATCTTATTCTCATATGCAATGAAGTAAAAGAGGTAGAGTAATAGGTTGTCCCCTAATATCAATATCAGGTTGAGAGCAGTTTCTGTGGAATATCTTCGACAATCAGATAATTAAAAATAAAGATAAAATACAATGCATGTATAAATAAATAAATACATAATTGAACAGTCTTCATATGCGAGTCTGAATGGGAAGTAATCCTACAAATAAATCCCTGCGTAAAAATTTCTGCATATAGACAGAAACGTAAGACCATACTAAATTTAAAAGGAGGAAACATGAAGAGAATGATACATAGAAGTCAGCGATAGCAAGCTACGATAAGTAATATAGTCAAATGGGTTAAAACCTAAACTAAGCCAACACTACTCCGCTACCCTAATTCTAAGCCTTCATAAATTCCAATGACAGAAACGTATAAAAAGTAGAAGTCATGAAAATTACTACAAATGCATTAAAAAGAAAACACATCATATGGCTGTGACCCACACTACTCGATTACTCTGGTCTTAAGTCTCCATACTTTCCTATCAAATGTTATATCCTCGGTAAGGGCTAAATACTTCAAATTAGATCTCAAACAGTCTACCCACTTCCTCCTTGGTCGTCATCTCTTTCTGGCACCGTCGATTGTAATCGACTACCCTCACTGTAGATACTCACCATTTAATCCTTTTGTAGCTTGTGACCCACCCTTGGTTTACGAATTTTTCATCATTTAATAATTTTACGATTGACCCTTTAGCTCCAGCACACCAATCACTACCCTCACTGTAGATACTCATTTTGTTTGAGGTTTCATCCAAGTTTTATTTGTTTTGGTGGTAAGAAGGGAGGAGTGGAGAGCCTTTTGTCTCCTCGTCGGAGCCCCTGAGCGATGGTGGCCACAACGGTCGCCTGGTTTAGCCGACGAGGCAAATGAAGGTTTAGAAAAGAAAAAAAAAGGGGTTGAGATGAGAAGAAGTGGCGGGGAGGAGGAATTTTGAGATAAAAGAGTGTTTGAAAAAAAAAGCAAAAGGAATTAGGGCTACATCTTTTTTACCTAAAAATAGCCTATTTAAGTGACTACCCAAAACGTCACCGTTTTGAACCACTGCCTGGGAGAAGTTTATTCGCGTATAGGCCCCTTTTTGTTTTAAATCCTTACGTTTTGATCTCCTGATCCATTTTTTGGGTTTCTGTTTCTGACCTCTTATTTCGTAATCCGTTTATTTTGGTCCTATGTGCTAGTTCATTTCAATTTAAGTTTTTTTACATTTTGCTTGTAATTTTATTAAGTTTCACTTTAGTCCCGTATGTACCTTTGGTTATATTATGGTCTTAGTGTGCGAAACTTGAAATTCCTTTGCTTCACGACTTAAAGTTATCATTTCTATTATGATTTGGTCACCATCTTTGTTGCATGTTGAGTATATTAGCTTTTAATTATTTCGTTTGCTCCCTGATTGCTTTATTGTTATAAAATTTGTTTCCCCATTTAATTTGTTGTTTTCTCAATTTAAGAGTTGTTTTGTTTGGCTTAATATGCATTTTTACTATGATATTTATTTGCTGTAATTTATTTACAATATGATTTAACTTATCAGTCGAGATATGCATTCTTTTTACTTGCCCTCATTTTTATGTTCACATTATAGTTTATAGTATGCATACGCGTATATGCCGTAAATATAGGATATTTTTTTAGTTACTTTTTTTACCAATTGGATTTAATTAGTTAAGCGCATTTGATGACTGTAGTGTATATTCCTTTATATGCTTTGGTGCATGTGTCCTTCATTATTTATTTATTTATTATTGTTCATTAAGTATTTTAATGTATCCTTTTACGTTTAAATACATTTATTTGTACATATGCTTTTCATGACATTTTTACATTGATACGTATCACTCACTAGCATAATTTGATTCGATTCAAATAATTGGACTAAAGGTAATACCCTTTCATTTTAAGGTCATTGAGAAGCGATTGTCTTAAGGCATAAGAAAGTCACTTCCGATAATCTTAAAATGAAAGTGTATCCCGTCAAGTGAATGAGAGAAAGATCGTTAGAACTTATAAAAGGTATGATTTCAATGCCTTTAAATAATCGAACATCCTTATTCTTTCTAAAAAGATTGGTAATTTCTAATTTAATTTGATTTATTTTATCATTATTTATGTACTTTGAGATTTGAATTAATAACTAATTTTAGAATGAAATAGTAATGTTTTTTTTATTCCGATTGGAGTAAGAACTGACTGCTTTAAGGAATGAGAGGTATTTTCTTCTCGATATGAAATAATTAAATATTATTGTGTTTTGTCTTAAAATTCAAAGAATATTATTTAAAGGGATCTTAAATCAAATTAAATTCAAACTTGTAAATTACATTGCAAAGACAACCAATTAATTTATTAGGTACCGATTTAGGGCGCTATGGGGTTGCTTATCATTTCCTATGTGTAATCGACTCTTGAACTCATTTTTTGGAACGTAGACCTAAAAATATTATTTTAATAAAATTAAAATTAAATTTATTAAAATTACGACTTTTGTTTTGTGTGACCAATTATATCCTAATCAAATATTTGTGCGACTTCTCAAACCGTTTTAATTTTAAAAGGAAACAACAAAATTAATTGAGACAAAATTTTTTAAATTACACTTAATTAAAAAATAAATATGTTTTTAAAAATCATTTCGACACTAACCTTTACGTTGTCGTACACACTTGGGTTAGGTAGTTCAGTTTATTAGATGTGACCTTGTTTGATGTGCTTTGCTACCGCACGACGAGGATGTAAATGGGTTGTGTGGCGGTTGACGGCAATAACATCAAAGATGATAGTTAGGGTTAGGGATAAAAAAAATTTGAAGAAAAAAAAAGGGATTTTGAGATTTTTTTAATCTAAAGAGGGTAAAAAAATAAAGTTTAAAAAGATTATGGTTTAAAAACATTTTTTATTAAAATGTCACACTATCAAATCAATATAAGTAAACAGTCTAATGACAAAAAAATATAATGAATTAATAATACAAGTGACCAAAATGTTTTTTCTTTTTTACATTAGAGACCAGGGAACATATGACATCCAATATGAGAAAGGGAGCCAGGAAAGAATTCAACATACATCAAAGGTGGTTGAGTCAATAACCATCTGTCGGAGGAAATGAGAGATGTTCACCATCTAGGAAGTGAGGGCTTGAAAGCAGATTGAAAATGGTATGTGGGAGGGCTCCTGAGACAGTTTGATCCATAACAATTGAAATTCTCCGTTGAAGTAGTAAGACCGCCGTGATGAACATGGCGCTAAACCGACAAGGGTTCCGTTGAAGAGGAAACCAGTCCATAAGCGGTAGTGATGGAGGCACAACCATAGATCGAGTGTCCGTTGAAGGGAAATGTATAGTTCACAACCATCCCTAGAAGAAGAAAAAAGGGATCGTTGAAAAGGCCACGACACAGGTTGATTAGCGATGGAGTAACAAACCAGAGTCCACCACCATAATCGTTATCGTCGAACCTGAGAAAAGGAGGCCACACAAACACTAGAAATAACAATAGAAAAATAATTTGGTACCGTATTTCCTTAGCCGTA